TTTCCGGGTCGCTTAATGTGGTTGTGATCATACGTTTAACTGTTCTCTAAGTCCACATGTCAAGGGAGCGTTACGAAGAAAGTTGCTCATTCCTTATCACCCTAGTGGAACTTAGTCGACCGTGTCAGACACGCATCTCTAACTGCGCTGTGTAACCTGGACCACGCGGTGCTGCCGCAGAGAGAGGAGACACTGGAGATTCGGGGTTATATGCTAGCCTAGCCACTAGTCACAGTTCCATTCATCCGGTTTTGTTTTTCCTGTTCCACGCTGTTTCAGTGATATTGTGAAACGTATGCGGCCAGGGGATCTGCTCATGGTGGCCGGTGATCACGGTATGACAGCCTCAGGGAACCACGGGGGAGACAGTGTCCTGGAGTTGGACGCCGCATTGCTCGTATATCCTAGCCGTGCAAAACTGTCAACCCGTGTGCCAAATGCGACCGTCCACGCCGATCCTCGAATGGCTCAGATCGATTTGGTTCCCACACTGGCTTGTCTGACAGGAGTTCCAATACCGTATTCGAATCTGGGCGTACTCGTCCACGAGCTCGTGCCGTTCGAGGAGACGTATCGGGCGTGTTTAGTGGAAAATATGGTTCAGGTGGGTGGTAGTGCCGTGCTGTTTTATTAGTTCACAAATTCGCCGTACACTCCCTCCCTCCGAAGTTTCCCTTATAGGTCTCTCTCCATATTGTGCTCTGCTGGTGCCTCTCCAAAGGCGCATCACGTGTGTAAACATTGCTCTGAAATATGGCCAATCAATGACTCATGAAGCAATATGTTAACTATAAGTTCCTTTTAATTTACAGTTACTTGTAAGTAATGGTGTGGGATAATTGATATTTATTGATCTGAACTGACTATCCTTCGGACGGTGGATATGCACTACTGATGAGCTCCAATAATAGCGAAACTCGAGTGTATTGCTTCCAAGCGTACGGTTGAATCGATGAACTGAGGATCGTGCGTGAAAGTGAAGTCCGAAGGATAGTTCAGTTCCAATCAATAAATTAACTAAAAGTTCTTTTTTTCT